TAATTTTATTTACTTATTTTCGTTCACGTTCATATAGGATTTAGGTATTTTAGGACATTAGTATACCGGTTAGATCAATTATTTATCTGATCGTCTTTAGTAGATAAAGATTAGTTGATCTCATTAATTAAATCACATAGATAGATGATGCATATAGCGATATGATCATTTGACCTGAGATTGTCATAGTAATTGACAAGTTTATTTATTGTGCTTTGATACTAGACGCCTATGGCCCTAGGGCGATAGTTGAAAGGATATTAGGTACGATTAAATACTTGTAGAATTAGTGATTGGTCAAGATGGAATCTGTCAATTCTTGGTAATGAGTTTAAGCTCCATGTTGTCATGAATTATAAAACGACCAAATTAAGACCTTGGTCAGGGCAATTGAATGAAAGAAGAAAAGAGTTTCTTAGGTCATTCAGTGGTCGATTATATTTGACATGAACACATAGTTGGTCGCCTATTAGGATTTGACAGTTGAACCATATCCTAGGGTGACTCAGAGCTATAAGGACAGAAGGAATTACTACCTTATTCTTCTATGATTCTTGAGAGTAAATTGTATACTTCATGCTATCCGGTCGTTAAGGAGTGTTGCTAGATGCCACCCTTGATTAGTATATTGATGTGATCAATTTACTATCGGCTTAGTATTGAACCTATGGAGCCAAACACTAACGAGTGTTCTGATCTTTGCTAAAGGATTAATTAAATTATTTGATAATTAAATTAAAGAATTTAATTAGTCAAATAAATTAAATTATTAGTCCAAATGAAATATTATTATATTCTTTGCTAGCACAAAAGATATAATTAATATTGTGAACAAATTGAAGCTTTCTATTTGGAATAGAAAATTAAATTATATCTCTTGAAAATATATATGTGGTATATATTTAGTGCATGTAATTAATATTTGTTTATATAAGATATTTATATAAATATTAATGGTAACTAATTTGTTAGATCCAATTTAGAGTTTGGACTAACGTTAGTCCAGGACGTGTCGGCAATTCTCTTTTGGAATGAATTCGATTTTTGAAAAGGAAAATTCTATGCGTGTTACGAACACCTATACTAAATTCTTCGCCGAGGAACAAGTTTCTAATGTGAAGTCATATTCATTAAAGAGTTTTACTTCTTAATATTGGACTTTTCGGAACGAACTCAAATTTAATCGGATTTTAATACAACTAATACACACCGGATTGAGAAAAAAGGAACATGCAACTATTCATTGAGTAGTATCCATGTTATTCCCACTGACAGCCAACTACACAAGTATACAATTTCTTTAAACAGAAGTGACTGGTCAAGAAGTGACTAGACTTTTTTCTCTTTCGAGGAAGAAATGAGTAGATTCGAATTTGGTTATTAGGGCATACTAAAACAATAGCAATAATTCGTCTGAATATGCTTCGGGTAGCCCGAACCATATATAATATACGGGAAATTATCAGCTATGTCCATTTATAAGTAGCTCATTATAAAAATTGGCCAATTGATAAAATATTACTAATATTAGCCAATTAACTATTTGTAGCAAAAAATATCAAATTTTTGCTTTGTTTTAAGTGGGTGTTATTAGAATAGATTGGGCACAACTTAAGGAGCTTGAATCTCAGTTTTGGGATGATTTGGTGAAGTTTTGAGGTGGTTTGAATTGAAAACTCGAAGTAAAAGCTGAACATGAAAAAAAATGAT